AACGATATGATATCTAATAACATAAATTGGCATTAAAACAATTCCTTATATAAATGAAAATACTAACCTTTTCATCCAGCCTTTCTTTTTGGAAACTCTACGTCCACTGATAGGCAAATGTCTTGCATCGCACATTCGACCCATTTTTAACGAATAACTAAATTCACTACACTACACTAAATAACGTATTTTATTATATGTAATACACAATTACACATAAACACACCACAGTTTTTATAAAACTCGTTATAACGAGTGATTTTGAACTCTGTTACTGTACGCTCAGTACAGGGAAAAGTGATTGTCCGCGCACATGATCGCGTACGCGTATATGCATGAGCGTATGACTTGGTTTACTGCGCGGTACACATATACTGATATCGCACGTTTCTCTCTCTCTCTCTCTCTCTCTCTCTCTCTCTCTCTCTCTCTCTCTCTCTCTCTCTCTCTCTCTCTCTCTCTCTCTCTCTCTCTCTCTCTCTCTTCTCTCTCTCTCTCTCTCTCTCTCTCTCTCTCTCTCTCTCTCTCTCTCTCTCTCTCTCTCTCTCTCTCTCTCTCTCTCTCTCTCCTCTCTCTCTCTCTCTCTCTCTCTCTCTCTCTCTCTCTCTCTCTCTCTCTCTCTCTCTCTCTCTCTCTCTCTCTCTCTCTCTCTCTCTCTCTCTCTCTCTCTCTCTCTCTCTCTCTCAACTCTCGCGATCGACACTTCAGAGCCCTTTAATGTTAACTATTTCGCTTGCTCCTTATACGTTCTCGCTCTCTCTTTCGGCGATTCTCCGGCATCGAGGATCTTTCCTTATCTCTACAAATATAAATATCTTATTGAATAAAATGTAAAACTTTTATTTCGCATTTTATCGGATTAAAAATAATTTTAATGGATTAATGAGATTTTTTACGATTAAAATGACACCAAACACGACATAAATCGGATGATTTATAATTAATAAATTGTCATAATTACAATTATCTTTCTAATTAAAAATCATCCGATTTATGTCGTGTTTAATGTCATTTTAATCGTAAAAATCTCATTAATCCATTAAAATTATTTTTAATCCGATAAAATGCGAAATAAAAGTTTTAGATTTTATTCAATAACATATTTATATTTGTAGAGATAAGGAAAGATCCCCGATGCCGGAGAGTCGCCGAAAAAGAAAGCGAGAACGTATACGGAGCAAGCGAGATAGCTAACATTAAAGGACCCCGAAGTTTCGTCCGCGAGGGTTCCTTTATCTATAGCCTCGCGAGTGAGATTTCGGTTTTTTTGATGTTTGCCATCTCACTTGTTCCTTATTCGTTCTCACTTTCAAGATAGTGAACCACGAGGCAACGGCGCACGTGCTTGAAATCGGTCAGAAAATCGTGATTTGTTTTCAGTGGTTCAGTGTACATGATCGGCTACAGACGTTTAGAATGTTTCAGTGCTTATTCAGTGTATGAAGCAGCGACAATGCCGAGATAAGTAAGTACTTTTATATTCTACATATCATAGATTATAGAGTAACATTTTTATATATATAATATTTATAAAGTAACATTTTTAGTGGATGTATTATAATTTATGAATCTTATTACGATGCAATTCTAATAATATACTGATAATGTTATTATAAAATGTATAATCTTATTTCTTTCCGCTCTCTTTCTTCTCTTTCTTTTTTCTCCTCTCTCTCTCTCTCTCTCTCTCTCTCTCTCTCGCTAAATAAATAAATAAATAAAATAAAAACATATACTAATATTTTTTTTATCTATAGCAAAAAGTGAAGGCACTACTGTTTCACCAGGGCGACCGCGCAAAACGGCGACGACGCCGATCGCCAGGGAGACGAGATCGACGGCAACGGTGACGACGCCGATCGCCAGGGAGACGAGATCGACGGCAACGGCGACGACGCCGATCGCCAGGGAGACGAGATCAACGGCGACGGCGCCGTTCGCGTCTACAAATTCAAGAGCGCAGCAAAATAAGGTTAGCTTTTTAAATTTAGTTTTTAAATAAACAGTGAAAATGAGAAAAATAATTTTTTATTACGTTATAATGTATATTCTTTCTCATTTTTTCATATGCTGTGTATTACAATGTATGTGTGTGTATTGTATGTGTATAAATATAAATATAAAAATATTTTATTTTTTGCAGCGTATCAATAATGCGGTGAAGCGAGCATTGCAGAGGGAACGAAGCAAACAAAAAAGGAGGTACGTCGCCGGTGCATATGCGGCACAATCACCCGCCTATGTACCGGCGATGTACACTTCAGTGCTGTCTGCAGGATACATGTCTGGTGCGCCCGCAGCATCAGGATATATGCCCGCTGTGCCCGCCACACCAGGATACCCGGCTGCTGCTTCCGCAGCACTAGGATACGTGCCCGCTGTGTCCGCTGCACCAGGATACCCGGCCGCTGCTTCCGGAGCACCAGGTTATATGCCTGGTACGCCCGTCGCACCAGGATATATGCCTGGTACGCCCGCCGCACCAGGATACATGGCTGCCGCTCCCGCAGCACCAGGATACATGGCTGTTGCTCCCGCAGCACCAGGATACATGCCTGGTACGCCCGCCGCACCAGGATACATGGCTGCTGCTCCCGCAGCATCAGGATACATGCCTGGTACGCCCGTCGCACCAAGATACATGGCTGCTGCTCCCGCAGTACCAGGATACATGGCTGCTGCTCCCGCAGCACCAGGATACATGCCCGCTGCGCCCACCGCACCAGGATACAACCATTCCACACCATTTTATATTTAATTTTATATATTATTTATTTTTCATTATTTTTATTTTTTGTGCATTTTAATATTTTAGTTTTATTTTATATAAAATATTATTTTAATTTTAATTTTAATTTTATTTTTGTATATTTTGTGTCTTTTGTATCTTTTTTTTCTTATTACAATATTAATTTTACTTATTACTTTATTTAGAAATAATATTTAAGGCTCCGGAGTACTCACCGTGAAACTCTGAGTTGACGGTGGCGACGTAGGTTGAGAGTGCGGTAGGAATAAGAACTATATGCACGACTTACCAGTGATCATATGGTAAGTCGTTCTACAGTTCTTTCATAATAATAGGTGCTTTTCATTTATATCAAAACTCAGATAAATCTCACTTCTGTCTTTCTTTAACATTAATGTTGAAGAAAAACAGAAGTGATATTTATTTGAGTTTTGATGTAAAAGGAAAGCACCTAATGACAGAGAAATGATGATAATATATAGTTATTAAATAAATTAACATTAAAAATTTTAAACCAAAAAAAACTCTTATATTTATTTTCCCGATAAATCTTCATTAGTGGTCATATTAGTGATATGTAAATGACGACGCGGTTCGAAAATCGAATCGTAAAGCATACGAAAGGAAATAAATATAAATATATATATATATACAGGGTCTACCAAAAGTGTGGAAACCCCTAAATATCTCGGAAAATATACGTTTTACAGAAAAGTGTTTCCAACAAAAGTGTAGGGTTTAAGAAGATCTATATACTGATTCTATCAGTTTGACCTTGGATGGCGTCGTCAAGGTCAGGTCAAGGTCACATTGACTTTTTTAAATGACACCCCCTACATTTGATTGCATATTCTTATAGCTTAATTCAAGAGCTTTCCAAAACACTATAATAATGTTCATTTTTTATTAAGTACTTTCCCAGCAAACACGAGTATATAACTGTTATATTGTCATAATAAAACGAAATGTAACACGCAATATAACACGAATGTACAAGGTTATATACACGTTAGTAGTAATTTCCTATTCATATATATTACAGCTATGTAACATTAATCTAACACGTAAATTACATGTTATATAACACTTACATAACATGTATAAAAATCAGTTAAAATATTATATAACTATAATGTAAATTATTGAATTGTGTTATAAAACTTTTATATACTCTCGTTACTGAATAGTTATATAATATATATATATATATATTATATATATATATATTGAGAATAAAAATTTTAATTATTGCATACTTGTTACAAACACAAATACTATAAATATTAAATTATTTAATTAATTTCGAGCAAAACTAAAGAACATTTTAATTAATTTTGCATGGAATTAATTAAAGAATTTGATATTTATATAATATTCGTGTTTGTAACAAAAGTATACAACAGTTTTATTCTATATATATATATAATATATATATATATATATAATATTGCATTAAATTGTAAATAAATGAACATAACTGAAAAAATTAAGATTTTTACTTTATTGATTATTAAAAATATCTTATAGATATGTAACCATCATTAAATGATATATTAATAAAAGGTATAAACTATACTTGTTTTTATATAAAGTTTCTTTTATTCATTATTTTTGAATGTGTATAATATGCATATATAATACATATTGACTAATTTACATTACTTATTTATTTATACTTAGACTTTGTTAGACAAAAACATAAAAATGAAAATAAAATCTATAAGAACTCTCTATAAGAATCTATATCTCTATAAGAATCTATCTATAAGAACTAAAAATTTGTACTCTATTTTTATAGATTCTTTTTATACACAAAAACAAAATGATAATCATATGATCAATGATTCTTTTTATACACAAAAACAAAATGATAATCATATGATCAATAACTTGCACGTAATTAATATAAAACTAAAATAAATATACTTTAACTTATTTATGCTTATAAAGATTTTGTACTATAAGACTTTTCTTAATTACTTTCATCAATTTGTTCACGTTCGACATCTTTTCCTTTATCTTGTCTCTGTTTTCGTTGTTTGGCAAAACGTAGCCATTCTGCTGCTATATTATCAAATTCAACTTCCGTGAAATTTAAATGTTTAAAAATAATTTCTCCTGGAAAAAATAATATATTATAGAATTAGTAAAATAATATAACAAAGATTTCGGTTAATAGATATGTTTAATTAACATGTAGAACATACTTTTCACAATTTTAATAAAATATAAGTTGGAGACTTTAAAATTATTACGGATGCCTTTCCATGAACAATTTATCGCACATTCGTTGGAAAAATATTTTGGAAAGAATGCGATGAATAATATCGCGAGGATTATTTCCACCAATCCTTAACAGAAATTGTTTCTATAAACAGAAATAAACAATTAGAAAACTTTCCATATATTATTATGGCAACACTATTGTCATCCAAAGGCTGCATCGCGGTGCTTAGACCATATAGATATGAACTGCGCATTCTGCATTTTCAATGAAATCATATGAGAAAGAGGGAAAGATTGTTTGACCATGCGTGTGACAAAGAAAAAAAGTTTATTTGCTCTTTCTTCTTTGTCACACGCATGGTTAGGTCAAACAATATCTCTCTCTTTCTCTTAATGTGGCTTCATTGAAAACGCAGAAAAGTGAGGATATGTGCAGTTCATATCTATATGGTCTAAGATCGCGGTGCCGCTTTCCCCATTCCAAGCGCGTGCTAGCGGCCGAGCGCCGTGAAATGCCGTCTACGCCGCGCCGATAGACGGTACTGCATTTCACGGCGCTCGGCCGCTAGCACGCGCTTGGAATGGGGAAAGCGGCACCGCGATCCAGTCTCTGGATCATGAAACAGTTGTGTATATTAAAATAAAAATGCTATTAAAAACTTACAAATTGCGTCACTGCTTCGTTGGTGTTGTGCAACAGCAAATCAAAATTACGTATGGCTTCTATCGTTTGTAAGGGTAATAGTTCAGCAATAAGACTATCCTCGCTGCTCTTCGTTAAAACCGGAGCTTGATTTCTCATAACATCTTCAATTCGATGCATTCGTTCTTTTATATCTTGCAATATTAAATTCGATGTGGCTTGGGAACGTAATATTTCTTTCAGGTTTCTGTCTGCAATGCAACGAGTAATGTTATATATGTGTATACACACACACACACACCACACACACACATATACACACACACATATATATATATCCAAGAATTTGGACTAATTTCTAGGCATCGTGGACGCCTTTTAGTGAAGTAATAGCAGAAAATAAATACTTTTCTATTTTTACTACTTTTCTACTTTTACTAATAATTATTATTACATTCCTTCTGTTATGTCTTGTGCCTGTTTAATTTTTATGGGAATCATTGGATATTGATAGAAAACACTGCGCTAATGGAACGCAGTGACTCTCACAAATTTGAAAAAATTTGATCATAACATTGAAAGAATATAATAAAGAATTGTATTTCTTTATACATGTAGCTACTTAATTAACAATTTATTTAACAGCCATCATATGTATATATTAATACATACTTATTTTCATATTCGAGTCCTCTAGACATCCTCTCATTCCTTCAAATGGAGCAGATAATGGAGCACCGTCTACAATATTGAGACATTAATATATTATACTATAACTATAATTATTACAATAACTATAATTTTTATTCATTTTAATAATATGTATACCTTCTAATATTATGGGCAATTGAGAAATATTTATTTCTCACTGGGTTCAGAATTTGAACTGGGATTTGTGCATGAACTCTTCCTTTTTTCTGCAAATATATATAGCATTATAATAATGAAAAAATATATAATAATAGTACTAAATACATAATATACATACCATAAGATTGTGAAAGTGGAAAGTCATTCATATCATTTACATTGTTTTCATTATTATTGTTTAATCTTAAATTGTCCGGACAGGCTGGAATAGCAGAAATTTTATTCATACTGTTTGCTTTCCCTGTAAAAATATTTTTTAAATATTTTTTCTGTAACACTTAAAAATAAAAAAAGTTATTCATTTTCTTATTTCACTTTTATCTTATTTCACTTTTCTCTATCTTACAAAAGCTTTCGAACAAACGAGATAACTGTTAATTTGTAGGAATTATTAATGTTTAGAAATACCTTAAAAGATTTGTATAGCTATTATAATAAATACATATCAAATATTTGAACTCTATTTACTCAAATATGTACAGTTTTCATAAAATGAAGGAGTGAGGCCTAGTTGCGCACAGAATAAATCGGACACAGAACTCTCTCGGACTTTCTATTGGTCAACCGTGCTAAGCTTCTAAGCATCGGTCGATATGATTGGTTGTGTCCGTTTCATTCTGTGCGCAACTGGGATCTTCCCAAATGAAGAATGCAAAAATATATTTAAATTATATTTTATTTTAAGTAAAATAAAGAAATCAAGAGACTAATGCATAATTATAATGTACAGGATATCTGACTGTTCCTGTATGTCCGCTCGTGTACAAGTAGATAAAGTCAAACTAAACACAAAAGTCCTCTCTGTTCTAAATCCATTTTACAAATAACTACGTGTTATTTAGAGTTAGTACATAAAATGGATTAATGAATTATCACGCACGATTACTTACCATCTTTTTTAATTAATAACTCAAATTTTTATATGGTTATTTGCAAAATGGTACAGGACTTTTGTGTTTGGTTTGACTTAATTGTATTATTCTACCTGCACACGAGTAGACTTGCGGGAGCAGTCAGATACCCTGTATATTAAATATAATAAAACATTCTTGTAATACATACTCTTATAAGTTTTACATGATTGCGGTACATCATTTTCCTCTTCTTCACTGCTAAATCGATATATGAAATGCGTTGTCTTTTACCACGTCCCAGCCTATCTTCATCAGTTGTTTCATAATTGGAGTCAGCTGCACTTTTTCTTGCAGATTCTAAAGATGCTACAAAAACAAAAAAATTGATATATACATTAATCTACGCACGCGCGTATGCGTTAAGAATAATAATATTAATAATAAAAACAATAATAATAATAATAATATATTCAATCTTAACTTATATGATCTAATGATAGTGTAATATAATAACAAGGCATATACTGAAGATATGAATGCATAAGTACTTACTGCAGTATTTTATGACGTCAACTTCATATAGATTCCAACTTTCTACATTCGGATTTGTATAGTTGGTTATCAAAGGTTTAGCATTTATTGTCCGTGGCGGCCAATAACACAGCTGCTTATTGTCCTTGCGTTGAAGCCACGATATTGGCACCTCGGAATATAGATCGTCTATAATAAATTTGACAACTGCATATGTCTGTACTATTTTGCCACGATTTTCCATTTTTTAATATAATCTGTAAAAAGAAACAGTATATTTTAGTATGTAAAATTATTTAACAAATTAAAATATGTAAATTTAATGATGTCAACTATATTATATTGGCAAAAGCAGATTGATTTGACATAAAGAAAATTATATTATTTTAATGTTAAATTTGTATAATTAATGTATTATCTTACATAAAGTAAAACAAGTGGAAAATTTGTGTTTTAAAGGTAATCTCTTATATTAATAGTTATCAATCAATCAAAATTGTAATTTTGCGATTTTGCTTATACTTTCATGAGATTTAAGTACATAAAGCATTGCAAAATTAAAAAATTAAATATTAATACAGCATACTTGAAAGTACTTAACTCACCTTATTAATTATTTATAATTCCTTCCATATAAAATAAATTTGCAAATTTCCAAGTATACAAGTTAACATTACTTCTCATACAGCACAGATGATTACAGTAACATTGCAGGAGCCTTGCAGTTACATTGAATGTAACTACAGGGAAGGCTCTTGAAATGTTACTATAGTTCAAGACAAAGGAATATGTTACAATAACTTACATTTTATTTACAATCTATTTTAGGATTATTGACAAGTAAAACACATAAAAATACAAAACATACAAAAAATACAAATTTATAAAAATGTACAGCGCGCATCTAATTGTTAGTATGAAGAAGCGGAATTATAATATAAGAATCGTCCTGATCTATATTTTTCAATATTAAACATTTTTTTTTAATTTTTAGTTAATGGAATTGTTATGATTTCTGAAGCAGTTGTGTCTAAAATGACATATATACCTAGTTTTTCTGAAGCACATGGTATAGTGAAAAGAGATTTTGGATTTAAAAAACGTTTTGCACGAAAGAATAATATACTGTCCTCTTTAACTACATCCAAAATAAAAACTACAGAATTATCATTAAGCAAAGCACATTTATCATTTTCAGTTATTGCAATTTTGAAATTTCATATTGAAAACACGAAATTTTATTTTTACTTGTATAAACAACAATCGGATAATGTACGACAGAGCACGGTATAATTGGTTGCTGTAATTCTTCAAATAGGCGATTTGATAATTCTTCTAAAGGCTTTCCACATTCATGCAATTTCTTTTTATTTTCTGCATATTATTTCGTATTTAAAGCAACTAAAATTGTCAAGACAACCAAAGGTTTTTATATCATTAGCAATATGAATAAGATTATGAACATTATGTGACAGATATTCTTCACCATAAATAGTCCCGTAATTAGAAACAAACCATAATAATAACGAATGTGCATAAGTTACAAATATCGTACATATTTCTGGATCAGCCAATATTCTTATCGCAACACTAAGGGAAAGAAAGTGATTATACCAAATCGGAGGAATGGTTGACTTTAAAATTACTATTCCAGTATATAACAAAAATTGACGTAATTCCGTAGCTTTCCATTTATCAATATCAACTAAAGATCTAGGTTTTCTTGCGAATTCAGAAGGAATGCAATGTTTAATATCATTAAATGTTGCGAAATTGAATTAATATTTTCTTCACGTAATCTGTTATTTTTATTTCCTTTTACCCATAATGTCAACAACCGTTTTGTAACACCTAAGCAAATAAGATGCATATAATCGAGCGGAATTTGTGAAATCATCCCGATGGAAAGCTTTTCTAATATAGAATCGCCTGTGTGATGTTCAATTTGAGTTCGATTTTTGAATGAGTCATCTGTACGTAAAATATTATTAGTTTCAGGAAAAGTTACTCTATTCATTACGAAATCACCTTCTTGTATACATTTAGTACATGAAAAATATCCTGTATGACTTTCGTATAAGTGATGAATGATTTGGCTGGAGTATCACACAGTATTGCCTTAATACTAACTTTATATTTATTGTTACAAACAATTATGCCATTTTCGGAGAGAAACAAAAATTCGTTAATAAAATCGGTGAGAAAATCATTTGCATCGTTCGGTTTACACATACCGTGATACATACCAATTATAAATGGCGATGTATGAATACTAATATTTTCAATCGATGCCATTATAGGCCACAATTGACTACCAGAACTTTTTGAAATTGGTAAAACCATCTATTTTAATGTTTATTTTAATTTCATCTGTCTTAATAAATTTGGGAATAAATTTCTATGGATCGTTTCAGACCGAGAAGCAAACACCGAAATGT